TGGAGTGGCGGATGGACTAGCGGACGGGCTGTTCCCGAGCCCTTTGCGGCAAGTTCGTTGCCTAAGTCTTTTGTTTTGCTCGTCGCCACTCGACACAAAAAACGTGCAAAATATGATTTTTTCGCTCCGTTTTTCGCCTTTTTTCCCTTCCATCTAAATTTTTTTGTTGATTTCGTTACCAACTACTGCTGCTGAAAGCAAAATGTCAATTTTGTGACTGGATGGCTTTTGTCTCTTTTGACGCCCTCTCAATGGCGATGACGGCGGCGGGTCGAACACTCACGCCCTCCTCCTCGTTTGTACTGCATATGAACTTCGGCTGAAAAATACCCTTTTCAAAGACTGTTTTTTACTAAGAGGAAAGGGCTTAATCAATAAAACATTTTTAATCAGGATTAACAATGGCAAACATAAAAAAGTCAAAATTTAAATATTTTTGGCCATCCGGCCCATGAAATAAAATACAGTTCCACAATACATTTTTCGTGACTTAATTATCGATCACAAAATATATTAAAATATGCAATCTACCTTCTCAACCTTCCATTATTTTTCCAAAACAAAATAAAGACAAATTCATTTAAATTTATAGGGAAGAATTAAGCATATTGAACTTAAGATAAACCTTTAAAAAATTTTTGGGAACTTTACTATAAGAGCATTTGCACTTCATACGGCATACATTCAAGTGCTCAAAAGATACTGAAAACTAATACGCGGCACGGGCACAATTAAATCTTTTGCCTATCGCCTTTTGTGTGTTGTAATAAGATAAATCCGATTTCAGCTGTCTGCGGCAAGTGAGCAAAACAACAGGTTGCTCTGCAACAAATCGAATGTGCGGGTTGAACGCCCAACGGAGAACTAAAAGCGAGGCGCTAAAAGAACAATGTGTCATAGCTATATTCGTGGTATTTAAAAGAACTCTGTTTTTCTGTTTTCTGCATATATATATTTTTCGAGCACTTAGCGTGCTGACAAGTTGAAGCTTTGCGTGGAGCGCGGTCAGGTTGGGTTCGGATTTTGCCTCATGGGGTCTCGGAGGCTCAGACACATTTGAGTTTTTTGATATGCGCTGTCTGTCGCCTGTTGACGGATTTCTGTTTTCGTTTTTTTTGTCCAGCTTTGCCCGGTGTGGGTGGCCCACACATATGGCCAAAACCAGAGCTCGGTGCAATTGTTTCGCCGCTGGCGCCTCAGTGCCATATATCCGAGGCCCGATTCGAACCGGAGTCCACATTAAGTTTTCAAATTGCTTTTTCTCGCTGCGGCGGTTGGATTAAGCTTATTTCCGTATTGAAGTTTCAGCTTTGCTTTGCGGTTTGAATTAATTAGCCGCCGCGAATACAAAGTCCCGGCCTGTTCTTTAGCATATTACGAGTGCAAAACCCAATCTTTATGGTTCTGTGTGCGGTCGAAGCCACAACGCCAACGCACTCGAATTTGAATTTTATATATGCGACCGAATCCGTATCCGAATCCAAATCCCAGCGAGACAATGGTAATTATTAATAATGCAAATAATTATATCGATTCCATTTTCAGGGGCGTTGTCTGCATGTGATTTGTTCAAAAGGTTCTCATTTTTTGTGTCGAATTCGTTCCTCGGTTCGCTTTGATCGCCTGGCAGTGTGGGAAAAAAGTTCTCATTTGGCTTTTTGGCCACTTGATGCTTTTTTTTCTGGGTTCTGTGTCGGTTTCGCTTCGGTTTTGTTATGGCTAATTTGCCTGCGCTGCATTTTGGTTTCCTTTTGATTAATTTGACGTCGACGAGTGCACGGCATCGGATTTATGACTTGGCCGAGACGTATTTTCGGCCAGTTCCGCCGAAGTGTTGTGTGTGTGGCATGAGTTATGGACAGTCGGGATTGTCTTGCTCTTGGCTAATCATGGCTGTCAGCCGAATTGCTCACCCGTCCACACATGGAGTCTAAAACGTTGGAAAACGCTAGAATATTTTTTAAGATAACTACAATCCTCTTAATTATTTAACACTGTAAATGGGATAAGATAAGGAACATTTATTTAATATTGGAGAATCAATTTAAGTCATTAGTTTACTTGGGTTCAGCTTAAAAATATATGTGTAACTACAAAATTATAAAAAAATGTGTTACCATAAAATAAATTTAAATTTATTAATTATATATACAATTAATCAATGGGCTGAGGCACTTTATTAATCATTTAATAAGAACATGATTACAAAAGAAGTATATATTTTATATACAAGTATGGATATTACACAATGTCACCCAATGATGATAAACAAGAATATATTATGTTAAAAGTTCCCCCCAATTCCTTTATTTAATGTAATAGGTATTATAATAACATTTAAGCTCCCAACTGTTCGATTATTTTCAATCTGCAATCCATTGCCCAATATGGCTAATCTAAGCTAGAGCCAAAATCGATTGCCAAAACCCAGGCACGAGTGACTTGGCCTAAACGTTTTGTGTTGGCAGCATTTCAGAAACACGACGATTAGATCTTAATACAGAAAATGGCGTTTACTCAACACACGATCAGCGGCCCGAGCTCGGAACAATCATAATTAAATATTAATTTACACTCGGCGCGTTAAGCAAACAGCACGTACACTTTAGTGGCCATAACAACAACAACAACATTATTAGCTATAACCGATAAAAACAACAGCAAAGGCAAAAACAATGCCCGTTGTCTATATGTATGTACAGCTGCGGCGCCCGGTAATATTCCATAATTTGTTTCATGTGCCGATTGAAATTATTAAATATTAATGGCCAACGAATGAAAAAACGTGTCTTGAATATCTGAATTTAAATAATAATAATTTTGATAGGAAAAATGCATTTAAAAATGCATTTTGAGCGAACTTGGGGCGATCGGAGATTAATTAAACTGCCACGGCGAGGAAGCCGGGCCCAAAATTAGAAAAAGAACAGGGCGTGTGCTGCTGGCCAACGAAAAAACTTAGCTGTTTCGAATCGACTGCCAATTAAGCCAGCTCTGCACGTAGCCGCAATAAACGAAACTCGAGCAAAGTGAAAAACACATTTTTCGGTTGTTTTTCGGCCTTTGATTTTTCCATTTTGTTGTATTTCGACGGCCCATAAATTAGCGCTCTAAACGATTGCCTGGCACTTGTCACCAGGCCCCCGTCTAATTTAACCTTTGACCAAATGCCGCTACCACAGAACCGAACCGCCTGTCCGTGCGTTCCAAAAGGGGCGTGGCACCTGGAGCCGCCAAAACGGCAGCACGCGCACTCAAAATCAAAATACAAAAAAAAAAATGTTAAGAAAATCTGACTGTCCCCGGTTCTGGCGAGTGCTATCTGGCAAATGCAATATGACTTTCAAGTGGCGGCTCTATGGCGTGGTTTCCTAATAGACCAAAAAGCTACCGCTTGGCCCAAGCGAACTCGGAAGCAAGTTGGTGGAAAACGAACAGGGAGATACCCTTTCAATAGATTGAAGATTTGTTAAGGCGAAAGAAAATGCCTGTATTATTAAAATGTAACCCTCATTTATCTAGAGTTCGACAGTAGAAACGTTTTTGTTTTAAATATATATCGCTAAATATTATATAAAAACAATGCTTAAAATTGTATTATTTTTAGATTATCCTGGGTTATTAAATATTAATCTGTATCTTTATAGGAAAAACAATGCCTTAGAAAAATATGAGTTCATTTCGAAGAAGGCTTTTATTAATTGCTTTGGGAAAACACAAGCTGTTCAAGAGATTAAAAGTGTTTTCTTGAAAACACCTTTGTTTAGGAACAATTTTAGCTACAAAACTATTTTCTATACCCCCATATACATTTTTCAAGTTTATATTAGCTACTCATTTTTGATGATCAGTGGGCTTGTGTTTTGTTAAATGCTTTGTCTGCGGTAACGAAACTGTGTAAACTATTCTATCGTTAATAATAAGTAAATAAAAATGAATTTTAAATTCCTTAAGCAACGAAATCTAAAACAAAATAATAAAAATTTCAATATACCAAATCTTACACGAATTTTCCTATCCCCGCGTTCTGGAAAGAGCAAACAAGGTATGAACAAAAAGTAAACTGGAAGTTTTGGAGCGTTAAAAACTGCGTGGACGGCATTTATAATAATGCGAGTGAGTTGAGCGGGTCGCTGGAGATCCAGGTGGGGATGCAGGGTGGGTGGGGCTTTTCGCTATATAAAGTAAGGTGCGGCTGTGTTGCAGTGCGGAAAAGCGGCAAGATCGCGGCAACTGGAAAACGCGTTTAATTGAGCTCGCCTGCCTGCCTGGCTGCCCACTAGCGCCATCTAGCTGCGTGCGGCTGTACCAAGAGCCGGCTTATGTGGACTTTTTATTTCGCCTTTAAAAACCGAAAACAAAAATCGATGATTCATCGCTTGGTTTGTTGTTTTGAGTGGATTTCGCCAACTGCAACAGGCCCACAAAAATACTAGACTGTTGGCGCTTGCCGCCTGCTGCTGTTGTTGATGTTGCTAGTTGCTGGTTGTAGTGTTGCTCGTTGCTGGTTGCTGGTTGCCGGTGACGCAGTCGCAGTTGCAGTTGCAATTGCAGCTGCGCCAATTCTCCTCCGGTTTGCCGTTTGCATTTCGGCGCTTTACGTTCAAAACAATTATTATTCTGGCAATTAATTTTGATTTAAGCAGCGATTTTCAATACATTTCCATACATATAAACGGCTTTATATATATATATGTATTGCTTTTTTGTAGCCCCCCATTGAGTCTCATTGACGGTTGAATGTCTCGATTTCAGGGGTTTTTATTTCGAGTGCAGCGATAAATAAATGACACCTACAAAGCTTTTCCGAGATTGCATCTTTGATGATTGTGATGCGATTCGAGCGGTTCATCCAATAGATAAATTTAGAGATATAGCAAATAAAGTAATTTTTATGAGCGTCAAAAAAGTGTGTTTACTTTCTTTTCCCAAACTTTAAAACAGTTTTTGCAGATAAATAAAATAAACTATACCTTAAGCAAAGTAACAACAATTTTAGATTTCGGTTTCTTTTTTTTATTCATTAAAAAAATTAAAATTAAATACATGCAAGTAAATGGCTACCTTCACCATATTTACAAAGCTTAAATCATAATGGTAAATGTAAAATAAATTATAAAATTAAATTAAAGGTTAGTAAGTGGTATGTGTGGGGTTTATTCTCTGGCACCTTTTCGATTTGTACACGAATGAGTTTTAACAACGATTTATAATACAAGGAATTGTCAACGAAAACAATCTAAGACTAAGCTCTCAACTGCGATATGAGTATTGGAATAGTTTAGCAATAACTCTAAATAAATAGTTGTGATAAACTAGAGACCCTAAGAGGCAATAAAATTGCCCTGACTAATTTTTGGCACTGACTTTTCCCTGAATCTTATGATTTCCGACTTCTGACTTTGGCTAAACTGACTTAGGTTATGGTTAAGCTTAAGGATTAATAAATGGCCGTTGGTGGTGGAGGCATGGTGTAGTCTCCGCCCTCCTCCTCTTCGCCATTGCTGCTGCCCACACTGCCGGCATAGTAGACCTGGTGGGGATTGTGACCCTCCTCGTAGCCCTGCAGGTGTTGTTGGAGCTGCTGCTGGTCGAAGCCACCGCCCGACCCACTTTGACCTCCATTCTGCTCACTCTGGCAGCCACTTTGCAAGTGCTTGGCCAGCAGGGACATGCGCGAAAAGGACTTTGTGCAGGTGGGGCAGGAGTACTTCTTCACATCCGAGTGGGTTTGCATGTGGGCCCTGAGATTCGACCTATCTGCAAAGGCACGATTGCAGTGCTGGCAGCTGAAGGGTTTCTCCCCCGTGTGGGTGCGTATGTGACCCTGGAGGAGCCAAGGTCGCGAGAAGGCCTTGCCGCAAATGGGGCACTTGCAGGGCAGCGTGTGGGTGCGAATGTGCATTTTGAGGGCCCCCAAAGAAACGTATGTCTTGTCGCAATTCTTGCAGCTGAACACCTTCTTCACCTGATTGCCCTCCGCCGAAGGACAATGGAACTGCTGATGCTTGGAGAGTCCCGAGTAGGTGGAATAGCTCTTTCCACAGTCCTGGCAATGATATCTCGGCACTCCCACCGGCTTTTGCATACTCTGCGCCGATGCTGCATTGGCTGCCTGAATCAAGGCCGAAGCCTGATCGGTGCAGAACTCGGTTTGATCCACTATGGCACCCGATCCTCCGGGCTGGCTCCTTATGATCTTGTACTCCGTGCTCTCGTAGGCGTGGGTCTGCTGATGTTTAACCAATCCCGCATAGGTGGCATAGCACTTGTTGCACTGCTGACACTGGTAGTACAGATCATTGCTGCTCTTGATCTTCAGCTGGTTGAGGTCCTGATTCTCCTGATCCATGTCCTCCATATCCTGCGGAGGTGGCGCATGCTGATGCTGCGGAGCCATGTGCTGCATGCTGAGCAATGCCCTGGCCACATTCTGCAGATTCATATTCTCACTTAGAACTCTCCTCTGGGTCACCGATAGATCTTCGGGTTCGGCCAGTGGAGTGGGGGGTGGATAGTACATCTGGGGTGCTGGTGGAACCGGAACAATATCCTCTTTAATCGGCTGCATTTTCATACAATCCTCATACTCGGCTATGCTTTTCAGTAGGTTATTGTTGTAGTTTCGCAGGGGAAAATGCTCCTCTTCGGTGGGTTCCACTTTGATGATGGTAGGGTTAGCATCTCTGGTGTAACCCAAGGGGATTTGCTGTTCCGGTTCCGTTTCCGGCTCCATTACCTCCTTCTCAGGCGGCAGCTCGAATTCTCCATAGCCCAGCCGGGCCAGACTCTTGGCAATTTCCTCGCGGGTGAAGACATCCGGAAAAGCGCGGGCTATTTCACGGGTTTCCTCCCAAATACGCCGGGCCAACTGCTCCTTAGTCTGACTCATGGCGGCATCGAAGCGGCGTCTCAATTCCGTAGGCACCGTTTGAGGTTCCGGTTCCGCTTTGGCCAACCAATGGGGTTCCAAGGGCACTGCAGCCGAGGCCACACTCAAGTCCACAGGACCTTCATCTGTGAAAATTATGAAAAAGTTAATATTTTCCAATTGCTATAAGTTATAACCAAAAACCCACCATGACTTAAGTGATCCTCTGGGCAGGACTCCTCCACCATTATCGGACGCTTCTTGAGCGGACAGCGGCTGTACTTGAGTTTATCCATTATTATTTCGTTAATATTCCTTATGTTCACTGACCACCGATCTCTGTTCTGTATTTAATACCGATCTTTGAACTTAAATCACTGCTCACTCATTTGCTTTTGCCACACGCGTCTCGATCGCTTGGAGTTCCTTGCTCGAATGATGCAACCCGGCAAGGATCGCTATGGTTTTATAGACTCCCGATCAACCCCCTGGCAGGATGATCAACCCCCTTTGGGCAATAAGGATCTTGGCAACTACCTACTTCCGATGTCGCCCCGGATTCTGTAAATCCACCCCGAACCACACGAGCCAAAGATCCATTCAGCGATCGAGCCACGCCACACAGCTGTGCGTTCATTGAACGCAGATACAGCTGCAGATCGGATCGGGCAATACGGGGGTACGACATAGGGAATCGGGGAGAGAATCTGTGGAGGGACAAATCTGTGTGTAAAAAGCGAGCACGTGCCACAGGGCTCTCTCTCTCTCTCTCACTCTCTGTTTCTCTCGACGATCGCCACCAGCTGCCTCTTTGGTTTAGCTCGTATTTCCCCTGATTTTCGATGGTGTGAGTGAGCGGCAGCTGGTGGCAAGCTTACTATATAGCATTATATATACCCGACCAACTGGCACAGCAAGTTTATTTATAAACCTCTTTCGGGTCCGCCTCACACGATCGCTTTTCCCCATATACCTTATGGATGGTCTCTCTTTGGGAGCAGGTGAGCTTGCTCTTTGGAGCCCCGTTAAGAGAAGCTTCGAGCCGAAAGACTCCACAATTCTCCACTCTCTTCACTCTTTGGGGTCGCTCTTGTTCCAACTTTCAGTCGTCCCACGATCTTAAGAGATGTATTTCATGGATCTTCAGAGGATCTTTCAGCTATCATTTCACTAAGCTGCTTATTGGCCCAATGTTCATTTTTCAAGTAATGCTAAGCCTGGCTCAAACGATCACATTTTCCGCTGACTGAATTCTACAAGCGAATCAGACGATTTTCCAGATATTTAATTTAGGTAAATAATTCCCAAGAGTTTCAAAATGGAAAACCTTAATATGAGATCAATAAGAATTAAATACTTTTTGTGGAGACAACTGATGAACTCAAAGTCTTTACGGTTCATTTTTCATCATCATATGTGATATTTTCAAGAGTGTTAAGTTAATTAAAAGACCATCTCGGTTGAAACGTCTTTAAATAAATATTTAAAAAAAAGTTAGGCTTCATTTTAAAGTTTACCTTTTAATTTAAATGCTATTAATAAATACAATATAAACTCTTTTTTAAAGAAGTTAAGCAAAGTTTATTCTGTAGAGACAGAGTAATATATAATATCCATTATTTTGAAGATAAACAATAGTTCTGATATATTTATTTAGCCCCTATCAAAGCTTTTCCTTTATTAAATAAATTCCCCCGCTGTTGTATCCGCAGAACAATGCTAAAACGTTAAAAGAAAATCAGCACTTAGCTTTCCAATTGATCTTTATCAGACCAATCCTCTCCAGCAAGCAGCTGCGTAGGATCAGCACGTGACACTGGCCCCGCCATTAAATGCCAGCCAAACAACAATGCAGTGTACCCACTCAGACGTCCACAAAAATATTAATCAGCGGGGCAAACATCGCGCAGATCTAAGGTAAATCAACCTTTCCCGGAGCATTGTTCCGGTCGTCATCCTCCTCCTCCTCCTCGGAAATAGGTGCACTCGGCAGAAATGAACCCCTAACGGCCATGAAATTTCGCCATCTGGCTGAAACCTCCACTTCCACCCCAAAATGGGCATGTGCCCGGGCAGTTACCTGGCTTTTTATTCGAGCGGAGCTCTGAGTGCCTTGGAATGCGCCAAAAGAGAGAGGTTCGTGCAAATCTACCTGGCGCAGTTGGCCCACCCCAAAATCAACAGCATCACCAGACAACCTTCGGCGGAATAATGCCGGTGAACCGGTGGTGGAACTGCAGTTTTGGTCGTTACTTTCCGGGCCAACCCCTCGTCGAGCGTCTTGCAAGGAGTCGCTGCAAGCACCCCCCGATCCGATCCTCGTCCATTCCCACATCTGCCGACGGTGACACGTACCACAAGGAACTGATTTCGTCTTGGTCCTGATTGTTCCATACCACGGGTATTTGGCGCCAAAATCCTGTAACGAACCGGTGTGCTCAGCTGGGCGAATTCTATTTTTGTATACGTGATCATTGTAACGTTAACAATAAGAAACGATCATTGATAGTACATTGAAAAGTGAATTTGAATTTTAATTAACTGCAGTTGGGTTTGTGTAGAGACATTAATAGTTCTTTGATGCATCGTTAGCTGATCTTAAATAATGGTAACTGATTTCAAAGATATGATGTATTACATAAATCTCTACAGGATAAGAGAATAATACATTTTAAAATTTTCTGAAGGCATAGGAGAATAAAACAACGACTTTAAACAATTTAAGATGATTTTTTTTTTGGCTTTAAGCAATGAACATTATATATTAAAGCTATACTTTAATGGATTTGTTGTTAGAAATTATTAGAAATTATTTAGTAATGGGAAAACGTATTTGCAAAGCAGACTTCTTGCTACTTTTTTTAAGATCTTTAAACATAAATTTAAATATATTGATTATTAATATTTTCGTTTTATTAGTTATCAAACTCAAATTTATTTTCTCAAATACCTCTTACAATTTTAAAATATATAATTGAAAACACATTCGCAGTGAATGGTGATACTTCAATCCCATATGCCTCCTGCCGCGAGGTAATTTTCAAGTAAATCCCTAATCCATCACCTTGGTCCTAACCCCTAACTCAATCAATTTTAGTTCGTATCCATCTGCCCATGATCATTCGATTCTGCTCATGACCAATTTCAATTCCTGCTTGGTCAGCCCACGAAGACCTCAGCTCGACAACAATGTAGATGGTGTCATCAAACCCTGGAAAAGCGAGGAAAAGCTAACTGCACATCACCTGGCAGGTAAACCGCAAAGACTAACTGTCCCACACAGATTTCCACTGCTCCACAGCTGAGTGCCTCACTTCAAAGTGTCAAACGGCCGCACAGAGTCGCATAATGAAGTGCAAAATGTCATTAATTTGCCGCCGTCAAGGTGGTGTATCTGGGGATCGGGGCATCCGAGTATCTGGGTATCTGCTGTATGCAGCTGCGCTCGGGAGCGGACAAAAGAAAGTCGGGCGGCGGTGTGTTAAAATAACAAAAAAAAAAAAAAAAGTATGCAGAAATCCAAAACGAATCCGATCCAGGCCGCTTGTCCCACAGCCACACGCCGACTTTTGTCTCACATTGTCACGAGCTGAAGGTTTTTCAAGCCACTGAGCAGACAATGCGGGGAAAATACCCGTACTCTTGCAAGAAAAATGCGCCGTCGCCCAGACCGAGCTGCAATCAAAACAAGATCTTAGAACTATTGGCGCCTGATATGGTGGTGGGGGGAGGGGGATGTCGGGGGGGGAAGCTCCAGGTCAGCGAGCATAAACGCCGCTTTTGAAATCCGATATTATTATCTGGCCGGAGAACACGGGTACGGTAACGGTAATTATAATCGAATAAAAGCAGACAACAGTCTGAAGCTTCCGACGCCGCATAAATTAGTCAGCGGTCCGAAACTAAAAAATAGAAGCTACGTCTATAATTCAAACTAATTTGTTTTATTGACAGCGTGTGCGCTTCGAGTTCTGTGCGATAAGAGACCCTCCGCACGCACACTCACAAATTGGTCAATTATGTGGGGTTTGGAGTCGAAAAACCCTAGTCTCGGGACTCTAAGGCGTGTTTCATTAGTCCAAGTGACAATAAATTAAGTTTCGACTTCATCGCCGCTAATTAAAATGCGCTCTTGAGATATTAATCTGCTGGGAAGAAGCTTAGTTGCTAGTCTATGTGGTCTTCTACACAGAAAATAAAAGACTTGATCAGCTAATGATTTTATATTTCCATTTTGATCTGATGACAATATATAATATTTGGGATAATATTAATAAAATATTTTTAAAAAATTGATATATACATATATTCCAATGAGTTAAAATTTGTACACCTAAAATTCTTAGTTTTTGAAATAAATCATTAGTAAAGTGCAAATCAAATTTTTTTGAAACTCTAACCACAAGAAAATGATTTAAAATAAAACTAGAATATGCATTTCTGTAATATAATTAACTCAGAGCTGCATTTCTTTCAGTGTACGAATAAAGTTGGTTTTTTGGGACCACCCGCTTGGCATTGGAAAGATAGATCGATCCGGTGATCGGTAGCTTTGGCGCTCTCATCTCCAACTAATAATCACCAGCGAGCTTGTGATTTTATTTTCATAAATGAATCACGATAATAAATTGTTTATGTTTCTTCGGTTCTTCATGGGAAAAAAAGATTAGCATCAGCGTTTATGTTAATGCAATGTTGAGACATCATAAAAATGAAATATTTGCCGCTTTATTAGTTGCCATACGAACGAATTTGGCAAAAGCTGAATCACTTGCAAATATATTTGCATATCCGCACATCTTGAGATAATTTCGTGGTGTGCTTAATTTAATTTACTTATCAATGGCAAACATCCTTTGCGGTATTTTTTCGGTGAAGTTGAAGGGCAATCTGAAGTTCAAGTTCGCTATCGCAGGTAAAGGAAAAAGACACTCGATTAGAGATATGCATTCTTATCATCTTAAGGAAAATATTTTTCTGAAACATTTTACGTCTTGAAATTTTGTGTTGCAATTGAAGTTATGAAATAAGAAACTATCTTACATTTAAAATAAATTTATTGCTTAATGCCAGTTATAGAGTTCTTTTAGATATAGTATCTTATTATAGTAATGTATTGGAGTAATTTGCTTCTGATTTTTTAAATTTCAATGTGGGAATCTTCCACACGGTTTCTATTAGTCATGTAAGTTATTTGCGGTATCTAATTTAATGGCATAGCCACACCTAGTTATTTAACTAAAGAGGAACCCCCTATGCAGGCCAATCAATTAATGCCCATTGAGTGCATAATATGGATTATAACTACTCCATTATGGAGTGCAAATGTTCCCATGACCAGAACAATTTACACTTGCAGAGGTGGTGAGAAAAGAGGAAGAATGGGATTCCAGTGGGAGGCGGGGTTGGTCAGGTTCGGGTCCACAGCTTCTCCCTGAAGGATTCTGACCGATAAATAACTTACCCACGCTCAACGGAATACGGGTTCCGGCTGGATTTCGCCGTAGTTCTGATGCAGGACTAAGGGATGATTCCCGGCAGGAATTATTTGTTATTGAAATCACGTGACAAGTTGCTGGCAGGACGACGAGGGGGTTGCCACCGCCACTGGGAACCCGAAACAGAAATCATCCCACGGGATTCAATTTATGCGTGTTTGAATGTTTTTGATTGCGCGTTGCTAATTCAAATAAAATTCGACTGCTCCTGCACTTTTTTCTCAATTTTTTTTCTGTGGTGAACAGGAAGGAGTCAAGTTGCGTGCTGGTGGTTCAGTTCGATGGTGGTTGAGGTGGTGGTGCTGCTGCTGCAATTTCAGCCTCATTTGCTTTTGTTTTCCAGTTTTTGTGGGCTCTCGGCTTTTGTAATCCAATGCTTTGGGGTGCATCAATTTAGTTGACAGCTTTCGCATGTTTTTGCTTTTTTGTATTCCCTGGCCGTAATAAAGTCAAAAACATTTGTTCTTGCCTCGAGGGATTCCTAATTAAACATATTAAGTGCAAGTGAAAACTCTTGGGAAGTGTCCCATTTTTTCTGGCAAAAAAAAAATCAGTGTTATAAACAGCAGCAAATGTCGGCCTAATTATTACAAATGATTTTCGATTTATATTTTATGCTAATTTAGGGCGCAGCAGCGGCAGCATATTCGAGCTGTCGGCATTGTATTTACATAAATTTGAGCTATGAAAATGTTTGAAATTATTGCCGCTATATGATCGGGAATTTCCCTCACCCATGCACCTGAACAGAAGCCCCAAAGTCGGTCTATAAATACGGATGGGGCCGTATAATTGATTTATGGCCAATGGATTGCCGCACGCCCAAAATCTCGCTGTGAGCCGAGGGGTCGTAGTAGCTCCTAAATTTAGACGCAGCTAAAACAACTAATTTAGGTGGATTCTCGGCAGCGTGTTCTTCAGTTTTGTCACGTTCATGGGCAAATGTTTGGCATGATCATGGGGCCATCTCCGAAGATGGGGCACCCCGAAGAACGTGTCCGTTTGTTTGTTTTCAGGGAGTGAGCGTCTGTCGCATCCACTGTCACAATTGACACTGACAATGCGGCAGGTACACGATCCCACCTCATCCCATTCCGTCGACTACTGTCCCCATGGATGCCGTGGATCCGTTCCGGAGACGTGCCGTTAAGTTGTCAGTGGGTGGGACTTCGATTTCCATGTCTGCTCCAACTCCAGTTGCACTTCCAGAGCAGGCGCAGCGAAAGATTAATTGAACGTGCGCCGGCGAGTTATTAATCTTGTCGAGCTTAGGAGCTCGGGATGCAGTGAGAACAAATTTTAGAATATTTTAACATCTCTAGAACTTCTGAGAGGGTTAACGTATATTTGTACAAAATATTGAAGCCCTAACTCGTCTACTAAATAAAGATAAAAACTATTGACAATAATTGGTTCATAGAAAACACCAAGGTACCATTTTAAATTGATTGAAACTTTTAATTGATAATTCCAAGGCACAAGGCATTTAATATATGTAATTTAACAATAAAATATTAAAAATAATTAATAGACTGTAGAAATTTGTTCACGATAATAAATATATTTCCTAATATTAATAGATTGTATTTTTATTGTTTTTACTTAAGCTTTATCCAGAAAACATAAACAGAAAATGTATAGTAAATTCTTATGTTAAGACCACGCTTTAGTAAAAATTAAATTTATCGTAGGCTGTAATTGGTATGTACGGTTCGATTGGAATATGTAGTTACATATGTAATATATGTACAAAGCTTCTAAACATGTATATCGGAATTAGATCTCTATAAAACGGTTGTTCTAAAACAAACTTAATTTTTGTCAGTGTACCCAATTCTTTTTTTCTCCGTGTGCCATTGGCCATTGTTTCTAAAATATTGTGTGCACTTCCCTGGCTGCGGTGTCAGCTAATGGGACCCGCCACTTGAGCCTTGATTATCCGTCCACATATGCAGCTGCCACTCTCTCCGCTTTCGTGCTCGGTTTTTTTGTTGGGTCCCCTAATTTGTTTATGACTCTGATAATGCAATTTTTTACTTGCAACGATCGGGGGCAGCAATAACATAAATATATTCACTGATCTGCTGGGAGCAATTACCGGGTGAGCCATATTTTGTCACTTTTTTATTTGGGCCGGGTGAAAGTTGAGGCATTTTTATGGCAGAACATAATTTGGAAACGGCGAGATAGCCCAAGATCGCAGACAGAGGATCGCTGAATTGCTATTTCATGGGATTCGGTATCCGTTCGATCTTAATTCGACCTGATTGGGCTGGGTTCGTTTCTCGATCCCGAAATCGAACAATGCCCAGTCATAGACCTCGGTCCCCACACCCCAAAATAAAAGACTGACAATATTGCGTAGCGATGAGCACATGCCAGAACTTGGCCACAATAACACTAACTGCGCAGCTGCTCGGCGATTTTGGTTTATGATTTCACATGGCAACGCAATCCAATCTCAACCCCCTCCAAATTCACCCAAAACAAGAAACCGGAGTTTAATTTAAAGACCGAAGTTTAAAGTACCCTAACCCTCAGTTTGATTGTGTAAAAAATATAATTGATTTTAGTAAATCTTAACATAAAATATACTTAGCTGAAAAATATAGATTTGAATAATTGAATTATCATATTATCTAATTGATTGGAAATGCTTTCCAAATTGTAAAACTAAAAAAAATATTCTAGCATTACAATTTTGAAACTAAGTTAAAATTCCAAATTTAAAAAAAATAAATGATTTGCTGATCAACCCTACAATTACAAAAATGATACCCCAGTTTATAGAAAGTGACTTTAATTTGATTTGATTATACATTTTATGGATCTCCGAAGCGTTTTAAATTGATATATAAATTGAAGACACCCCTTGCAAGGAAAGGGTATTTAAAATGTATCGTCTTCGTCGGAAACTCGCCACTCACAATAGACGCAACTGCGGATCTAAAATGGCGCACCGAAAGTATCTAACACCTTGAGTCGCAAATCCAAAGATAGCTAGGGCAAGGAATCACCACCGAACTTGGAACCGGATTGTCTCGGGGGAAGTTTTCGATTTCTGTGGAAAAGAACACCTGGATGCGAATCGGCGGGCTCTAAGGTGCACGATAAAGAGGCGCAAGTTTCCACTATTTTGACGCACCGGTGTCTGCCACATAAAATAAAAAAGGGGTAAGTGCTTCACAGTGACAATGTTTGTCATTCTTTGAAAATAGTAATTCGTGCAACTTTAGTAGACCGAAACTTTTTGTGAGAATTATTATTTTCCATTTATTATTTTATTGTGATTTAATTTTATTTATTTTAAATATAAAAATTAAGTATTTAATATTTCATTATATAATACTTTATGATTGGCTGATATATATATATTTTCAATACATAAATCTTAGATCTATAAATACTAAGTACATAAAATTATAAATTTTGTTTATGTGTAATATGTATGAATGTGTCATGGGCAAACACATAATATCATATCAGTTCGTCTTCCTTTGGCAAATGCTTATGCAAATAAGCCAGAAACTGAACGATCCGAACGAACACTTGCGTCATCCGCAGTTGGTAAACATTCAATTGGATCGGAATGGATCGGTATCGGATCCAAAAAAAGGGTTAATAGAGGAAGTGCACACCTTGCTCCATTAGCATAGAATTAACCCCGACAACTGTGAGAATGAGATTCCCACAGTGCCGCGGACTTGTTTATTAACATGTGACAATTATGCTAAATGCATTAACCCTTACCCAACCCTTAGCCTTGTTATGATTTTCACTTTTCCGAGACTGCAACTCGATCCCATCCCAAACCGGATGCAATCAAGGATCAAGGGCAACTACTCTAGGAATATGCAAATTTTATTTGCCACCGACCATGTAAATTACACTTGGACATGCCGCGATGCGGATAACACCTGGGCGTCGGAAGGAAGAGGTTCCAGAAATGGGAAACGGGAAGTTGGGATCTCATTAATGCCGAGATGTTTCCCACAGTACTTAGCTGGTTTTATGTGGGGACACTTCCAGGCAACTTCCCTTGGGGCGATCACAGATCCGCGATCTGAAATATATGCAGTCTTAAGTTGAAATCATGATTTAACTTCATTACGAAATTTAGAGTTATTAAGAAGTGGTAAAAGCCAGTTGGGTTTAGTGTTTATGCCCTTAAGATAGAACCATTCTTATTAAACCTTTTTATAGCTAAAGCAATAATTTTGTTGATTAAACAATTAAAAAATGTATAATTCTTATATAAAAATAAATATTAGCATATTTATATCGATTTGAATCAACAATTATTTTCTTTAATTTGGACAACTTACCAAGTTAATTGAGTTTCAAGTTCCTTAGCTGAAAATGATTTGTTAAGAACTTTTGCTTTTTTAATCAGATTTTGGATGGAATTCCAAGAGGCATTCAGCCTTTTTACTTTTTTTCCTCTTTGGCTTAGCAATAAAAATTCACGATGTCTCCCCAAATCAGGGTCAACAAGATGGGCTGGCGTATATCAACGCACTCGGAAAGGTCCACCAACACGGATCTAATGGAGGGACCGACGCCACGTCATTCTCTTCTTTCCGGAAGATACAAACAGAGTTTCGCCTATTTGACACTGAGATCCCGGATGCCGGGAATTATGCAGCAGGTCATTATGAGGGTGGTGAACGATTTACCGATGTTGGAGGAGAAATTCGGCGAGGAGGTGCGCAAGGATGTCAAACAGATAGTGGACGCCATCGAGCGATTGAAGATGGAACTGAACCGGGATCGGCAGTTCCTGCAGTTTCACGGAAATGAGCCGGACAAAGCCGAGTGGAATGCCTTCCTTTCGGAGCTGCCACGTCCTAAAAGGACCTTCTTCCGCGCCTGTTGGCTGCACGCCGAGTGCTACCTGTACCGCCGCATCTTCTCCTTCTTCGAGAACAGCCGCTTTCTGCACAACTTCGACTGCTTCGATCATCTCAAGCAGGAGGACCTTATAATCAGTGAGGAAACCATGAAGATCTTGGCCAAAGCCACTCGCGATTTGCCCAAGACCTTTGATAATTTCCACAAACTGCTGCGCATTAATCTGTGGTGTAATCACTTTGAAATACAACTCGGCGCCTTTACGTTTACAGAGGAAGAACCCCAGAATGATATTAATGTCCTGGCTAAGGTGGCTGACATTGATAGAGTCCTTCTGGTGAACGATTCGGTGCTGGTGTGGAACTGTCTGATGAAGCCCGGGCCAAATGGCATAGTCGATTACATCTGCGATAACGGTGGCTTCGAGTTCTTCGCCGATATGGTGCTGCTGGAATATATGGTTGACAACAACTTGGCCACTCAGGTGAGGCTTCATGTCAAGGCCATTCCCTGGTATATTTCCGATCTTACTCGCCCCGATGTCGAGTGGACAATAAATTATCTGGTCCACCACGAAGATGAGTGCCTATCCGCGTTGGGCAAAAAGTGGGCTCGACTAATAAGTTCCGAAAAAATCGTCATAGCACCCGTTTCGCATTTCTGGACGGGACCACAGCCCTATTTCGTGATGGTGGAATCGGATATTGAGCTCTATCGCGTGCTCACAAACTCCAGATTGGCCATTTTCAAGGGGGATCTTAACTACAGAAAGTTGATGGGCGATTACATATGGGATTCGGCGGAGGAGTTCATCACCTGCCTGCGGGGCTTCAGACCCACCAATATCTGTGCCATGCGGACAGTCAAATGCGAGGTGGTTTGCGGTTTGCCCGAGGGCATGGCGGATACCCTCTTGCGAAACGATCACACGTGGATGATCTCCGGCAGCTATGGCGTAATCCAGTACACCGACTCCCTGAAATGTTCCTGTGCCTTTCCGGGTGAAGAGAATAATATTAAATCGGAGCACTGGCCGGCATTGGTGCAACCGCGTTCTGGTAGGTCGACTGGCGCGCAAACTCCCATCGGATAAATGGCTGCGAATTTGTCAATCGGAAATCGAACGGCCTCGTTACTCCCACTCGGAATCAGCTCCACTGCAAGTGCTCCCAATAAACCCCCAAGGATTGTTTGGGCCGGGCTTTAACCGCAACTTTCTTGCTGGCCAATTGATGATATTGACTAATGCTATTGGTTTTATGGATGGGGCGCACATGCGCAACCATTTGTCCCGGAGACTCCCAATTTGGAAATGGAAAGTTGCCGCAGTGCCACAAGTTGCCAAAGGCGAGAATTTGGGGAAGAAAAAATATATGAAAATTAAATATGTGCTGATTAAATTGATTGTTTTTCAAGATTAAATTTTTCACAGGCCTATTGCCGGTAAGATTGCTACTTTGTTTTGGAATATGGTATAACTTTTTTTAAGACATGGACAAATATAAAAAAATAATTAAATTGTAATGGTTTTCTCTTCGATTTGTGTTTAGTTAATTGACGAGTTTATACAATGCATTTTTGTATGTCTAAATGTTATTTTAAGTGAACGGTTTGTTTCTTATACAAATAAGATTTGATAACAATCGCTTCTGATAAAATGTTTTATATTACTTCAGTAGTTCTCATATTCTTGACTTCACTTTCCCCTTAGTTAAACAACGATTTCAATTGTTTGCAACATCTTTTGTTAAGTAAATATTATTGCTCAAAACGGGATAGATTTAAGAAATTTCCCATGCTCATTTTCCGCAACTTATCCAGCCCATTGCACCTCAATAAAATGGATATCAGTGGGAGACCCAGATTGTTGCATTTAATCGGCTATCATGCAGAGCTTTCCCAGAAATTTGAGACCATTCCGAAAGTATCGACTAATTATAAGAATGCTCCTTTAAATTCTGCTCAGTCGAATTAAATCATTTTACTTGAGTGCCCCTTTCAATTGAGCAAATCCAAAAAAAAAGCAGCGATCTAGAAATATTACAAAATCAAATGAACATTCTCACAAACATTAAGGAGGCAAATTTTTGAAAAGAGCAACATGAGGCCGCCGAATTCCGGTGCACATTTTCCGCCGTGCAGATCAGGTACAGTTTCCGAAAAATCGCTGGCAATTAATCATCAGCATAGCAATGTTTGAGAACTCGACTGATTTATTTTCCCACCAAAAAGTAAAAGCCACCCTGCCGTCCAACGGGATTTACTGCGCAGCTGCAGGATAACATATAGTGTGCAGCTTCAACAGGCTGGGTGGCATGGGGTGGGTTTATACGGCATGTCCTTGAAGGCACCCGGTGTTTGGTGTTTGGTGCCCGGTTCTTGTTGCTTGGTGCTTTGTGTTTGGTGCCCGGTAAATGGTACCCGACACCAGGTTACCGGCGACGCCTCTTCAGAGCCGGTGCTTTTGTCTTCTCACTTGGCTTTCGGGGGTTGCAAAACTTTTCCCACCATTTCGCCCGTGATTTCCACCCCACTCGATCGGGGTGAGTGGATGTGGATAGTGCGCAGGTATGCGTCGAAGGACCAGCTGTCGGCATGCAGACGAGTCCTTAAAAGCTTTAGCTACACTCAATTAAAACACTTCCTTTTATGGCGAACCTACAATTGTATATTTTGCGGAAGAATATAGTTTCAAAAAGGAGAGTTTTCTACTTTTTAAATATACTCGCGTATAGTGATTGGTGGTTTTATTATTGAATTGAAAAGCCTTTCCTAATTAATTCTTCTTTTCAAAACATTATTTCTTCTTTTCCAAATATTATTTATTATATAAAAAATATGTATTAGAGTATTGAATAAAGTAAACGATTTTTTTAAACCAACTTTGAACTTTATTTTGCATTTTTAGACTTTTTATGAATAAATTGGTGATTTGGAATTCTTTTTTTTGTTATTTAAAAAAAAATAAGTTGAACCCTTTCCTGGCTGAAACTTGAACTACTTTGACAATAAAGTAACCCAATTGTTTAATTTGAAAATAATAATTACTACTCATTATACAAATGTTTTAAAATGATCCTAAATAATATTATTTATCTTCGACTTTAAAAATGTTTTCGTTCGTCACATCAATTTTTTTAGACCAGTGGTATATGATTTGATGAATCATTATCCATGAATCATTATCGATACAATCTTTCTCTCTGTGCCGTAAATAACCTCTTCGATTGTCAATCATTGCACCCTAGCAAAGTTCATAGGGTAAGTATTCACTATTAAACCAGAAAGTGATTGAATGTTTGCTTACCAATCGGGTGAGTCACGCATGCGTCCAGCTATTAAGTAATAGAAACTTTCAAGCAAATGGGTTGCCAAAGTGGAAGTGCTCGATTTACGGTTCACTCCGGTCTAGTTTATAGCCAAAGTGATAAGCAGGAAGTACTCACGACGACAATACCACCCGTTCAACCATTAGCGGGAGCCACCTGAATTATGGGCAAATTAAATCGAACTCGATTCGCTGGCAATTATCTCGGGAATCGGGGACTATAAGGGGGAGACCCCAAAAAAGCAGTTGACATAAACCTTTCGCCGGGCAGCTCCTCCGCCAAAGGCGCTGACAAGTGGCCGGGTTGTGCGGCAAAAAGGTCAACATTTCGTAATCAGCTTAGTGGCTTTTGTATGCACGTAACCATAACCATGCCCCATGTCATCCTATATTTCACAGGAACCGCGAGGGGATCCAAAGGGGCCAGACTGTCAACCCGCCAGCGGCGCAAGATTGTGGCACAACGTTCGCCAACTGACCAAGTGGTCTTTCGTTGCCCAAAAAATAGCAAAAAAAAATAAAAATAAATAAATAGAAAAAACAGCGACTATCACCCGCTAACATTCAAATTCAAATTTGCTTAGGCCCACCGACAAAAATTAGCCGCAGACTTGGGCGCTAATCTGGTTTTAAACTGAGTTTGGCTCTGCGCCTGGGTCTCAGTCCTGTCTGCTGCCGCGATGCGGGTGTGTTCCGAGCCACGCAGAGTTCCAGGTCTTTCTTGGCCACCTCACATAGTGCTGCTCAGTGGGGACCACAAAAAATAGCTAAATCAGACAATAAATATTATTTTATAAAATTATTTTAAGTTTATTGTATATTTTTCCCTAAAGAAATAAATATTTATGAGCCGAAAAGGTAGAAAAATAATGCTTTGGTTTTAAAATTCAAAAGAAATATATGTATATATATTTGAAACAAAAATTAACTAATATTTTATTTTATATTTAATATTAAATAATTCTACAAAATCTTTGAATAACCATATATGCTTTGAAATGTTTTATTTAAGAGAATAAAGAAGCAAACAATGTTCAACAATTATAGTTAAAATACTAAATTGACTACACATTAACCCATTTTGAAGTCCTTTAAAACTAGCCATAATTGTCTAAATATAAATAGCTAAGGAGTCAAAACCGGCACGCTTGTTGGCCAGTTACTTGCCTTTTGCCTCGCCTCATGTCCGGCAACCAGTTTGCAGGCGAGGTGTGCGAGTGTGTGGGGCACCCGCACCTGGCCAACTGCCCAACTTACGACTTGCGGCGAGTGCAACTGCCCAGCTGCCAGCCGATGCTCCCTGCCCTACCCACCCTAGCCTTTCCCATCCCATCCTTCGCATTCCCAGTCCCATTTCCATTCCCACCTCTGCCGACCGATCCTGCCCAGGGCTCTTGGCCAGACCAGATCCTATTTATTGGGCTTTAAATGTTTAACAACAAGTTGGGTGTTGAAAGAAGGCTGGCTAACGAAAAATATGTTTTCAGTTCTTAAGTAAATAATATAACAACATTATTCACCAAGGCTAGTACTGCAAAATCCAAAAATAATTATTCATTAAAAATTAATATGAAAAGTAATTAAGATATATTTATTATATCTTTCAATGAAATTAATATCTTCTAAGTGGATTCAGTTTTTGCTATTGCACAGTTTTTGCATTGAAAAAAGATGATAATCCTGAAAATTATAAATTTTAATTATTTATTTACAAAATCAAATTTCAATTGCTATCTTGCTTTGGCAACTGGCAGAGTTTCTTGTTGTCTAAGCCATGGTAAGCTTTTTACTTGGATCGCCTGGTAAAATAAGCAATAACTGTTAACCCTGCAGCAAAGAAAATTCAAGTGATTTCTCCGGCGATCTTCACACAGGTCGTTATCCATTTAAATGCAAATTTTCCGGAAATAATGTATTTATTTTACACTTTCCTATTGGCTAATTGTGTTATGCCTGCCGTTGTTTAGATTAACTACTATATTCACAGACTTTTTAGTATTAATGGTTATTGGTCTGGAGTCATGTAGATATGAAAATATGGGTTTATGGGGGAATAAAATAAAGAGGGTGTAATGCAAGAAATTAAGTGTCTTAAATAAAGGTTTTTATGGTAAGTATAGCTAACCACACCCCTGGGACTTTGGCTAAGAATTGGAAATTTTAACACCAAATCCTGGGCGACACTTTGACTTAAGATTGATGGTCAGGTCGGCGGGGCCAGAGAAACGCCTTTCCATTTTCAATGGAAATCCAAAACAGGTTGCCAATCGCCCGTTTGGCATTCACAAAGACCCACTGCCAAATACAAATATTCCAAGTGCGCTGTAATTCGTCTACTCAACGCCAGAGTCTGATTTGCTGATTAGCAACACTCTTTCCGTCATATTCTGAAACCCAATTACAACGCCACTGACAAGACAAACGGCCAAACAGTTGCGACTCCAGTCGCCCAGTCTTGGCCACGTGAACACCCTTATGCAAAAACAAATCAAAACAGCATAAAAAGTCGTAAATCTGTGTGCCGAAAAAATAAAATAATACGAACGAGCGGTTGGTCCTAGAGCATGTGCCACAGCCGAAAAAAAAAGTCTGGCCAAAACCCCGGCCAAAAAATCTCTAGCCAAGACACTTGGCCACTCGAGACGGCGGCTGCTGTGATAAAATATGAGACAGTGGGGCAGACAGTCAACGGTTTTGCGTTTTTGGCGGTGCAAGACGTGCGGCTGGCAATGATTCAGTACAAAAGCAGCCAAAGGAAAGAAGTCCGTCGAGACACTCGAATATATATGACCCAC